AGTCTCCAGATTCTGAGATCTAATCACCACTGGCCCAGCAGTTGGGATAGAGGCCCCTCCACCTGCGTCCTCTGGAGCAAGCACATGATGCACACTGATCCCTGAGCGGGCTCCTCCTCTGCCCGGCACTGTGCACTCAGATGCCTCCAACGGTGGAGCCCAGTTCAGAAGCTGCTCCACTCCTGTCCCAGCACCTGTCACACGGCGGCAGAGCTCCTCCCACAGCTGACAGACTTGTGCCATTAGAGCCTGCTGGGTGAGATCTCTCTCTCTCTCTCTCTCTCTCTCACACACACACACACACACACACACACACACACACGAGTCCCTTGCAACCCCTGATGAAAATACTGTTTTCTGGGAATTACAGGAGAGCAAAGCATTTGGGGATTAGAGGAAAAGAAGGTCAAGCTCTGAATAAAGCCTGGGAGGTTTGCAGACTTGGCTGACTCCCCAGAAAACCCAGGCCAGGGGAGGTCTGCAGCAGACAGACCAGCTGGCCATCGCCCCTGTCCTGCATGGGACGCCCGACGGACAGAGGCCCTTTGGCTCACAGGTCCCACCTTTTCCTGGAATATTCCTGTCTCATGTGTTTGGGGCAGAGACCGTAGGGCGGGCCTCCTGTTGCCTGGGTGGGAGGCTTTGGTTGCTGCCTTGGGTTTCTGTTTGTTTGTTTTGCAGCGCTGAGGATCAAGCCCAGGGCCAGCCCAGCAAGCACTGAACCACTGAGCCATGTCCCACTTCTGGAGGGAGTGTCATAGCCTTCTCCTGTGTTTCCTTTGCACACTGGTGTGTGACTTGGTTGATCACTTGGCTCGATGTGTTCACAAAACTTCAGGGGAACATAGCCTGTGGGAGACCAACCTTGCCCGTGACTGGGTCATACTCCCCGGCTGGGTGCTGAGGCGCTCAGTCACAGAAATGTGGCAGAGTTCTCCCCACCCTTCTTGGGTTGGAGGGACTGTGTCTCATGCATGGGTGTGTCTTGCTACAGCCCCATGGGTGGAGCTACGCTCAACTGTTCCTTTGTAATATAACCTCTTGCCCTGTTTAGGGTAGAATCTTCCATGGACGTGCCTTGTGTGTGTCCCCTTCTCTTACTGTGCCCTTGGGTGTGGCCTACCCAGATGTCAGTCAACTTGCTGACAGTGGACATCATGAAGATAGACTCAGCCCCCTGAAACCTGACCCCTTGCCTCATTTGAATAGCTTCTCCTCAATAAAAGGGGTCAGCACGTGTGCTCTCGCTCTCTCTCTTCCTGCAGACCCTTAAGGTCAGAGGAGCCGTCACAGCGACCCAAACAAAAAGGTATTTGTGTCTCTTGTGTGGTTATTTTGCGCAGCCCAGTTAGCCCAGTTTTCCTGGAGTGATCCTTGAGCCTTTTAGTCTCGAGAACAGAAACCCGGCAATAGCCCCTCTGAGTTTTGCTGTATGTACAAGTGGTGTGTATGTAACGTGCATATGTAGACATACCACACAAACCACTGTTCCAACATTCACCATTTTATCTAAATAAACTTTTTATTCATTGAATTTTTAGTGAGGCAATATAGATGCACAAGCAGCTGTCAAAAATAATACCAAGAGATTCCTTGCACTTTTGCAGTTTCCCAACAGGGTCACATTTCACAAAACCATCAAGAAAAGATGTCAGCACTGAGACCCTGTCCCGTGCTGTCTTCCTAGGTTTCCTTGTGTCCACTGGTGGGTGTCAAGTTCTGTACAGTCCTATCACCTGGCAAGGGCATGTTGCTGGTGTCAAGTCTAAGAATTCTTTAGCCTGGGCTGGGGTTGTGGCTCAGCAGTAGAGCGCTTGCCTAGCACATGCGAGGCCCTGGGTTCAATCCTCAGCACAACATAAGAAATAAAATAAAGATATTGTGTCCATTTACAACTAAAAAATAAATATTAAAAAAAGACTCTTTAGCCTTAGATCCTAATTTCTCTTAGGAGTTTTTCTGAAAGTTTTATGGTTTTACATTAAAATCCATGACCCATAGGTTGGCATTTGTTTTCATTTTGCCTGTGAAGTTGGACCACCGGAGCTCCCTGTGGGAAAGGCTCTCCTGCCTTCCTCCCCGTCCCTCCTCTGTCAGCCAGCTGAGCGCAGCTGTGCAGGGTCACTTCCGTGCTATCCCAGGGCCTCTTCGCACACTGCCTTGGTTGCTCCTGGCTACCACAGTGCGCCTGGCTATGGGATGCGGGGTCCTCCATTCTATGTCCTCTCAGTGCTTAGCTGTCCTGGTGCCTGTGACTCAACCAACAGGTGTGACACTCTTTGTAGGGTGATGGGAAGGTTCTAGAATCACCTCTGTGAGTACTGAACTTACTGAGCCACACACTTAGAATTTTATGGATTTTGTGGTTCATAAGCTATTTCAATTTAACTTATTGTTTGCAAGTAATACTGTTTAAAGGTACAAGGATCAAACTAGACTTTCTCGTTGACCTAATCAGAGGTTGAAGGAGAATCACAGAGTGATTTCCTTGCTGCATGAGCCAAAAACAAATGCCATCTAAAATGGTTTTGTGCCTGACAAGAGGTCAGTGAGAGACCTGGCAGAAAAGGCACTACCTGGGACTGTGGGCTGCGGATCAGCAGCCCTGACGTCACCCCTAGAGGCAAGACTGGGTGGCCTTGGGTTCTCCCACAGGACCTGGGTTGTGAGTGCATCTCCAGTCGGGAGTGAGGCGGTGGGTTGTGTCAGCCAGGGATCCTGACCACGGCCCAGGCAGGAATCCGCTGGGCACCAGAATGCTGCAGAGGAGGGCACAGTGCCAGTGCTCACAGGGCGGCCTTGGCTAAGAGGTGAGTGTCCACAGGCCAGCACGGGGCAGGCCCGTCTCCCTGGTTGAGGAGCCACCCTGTGACAGAGCCCTCCCTGAGCCACAGGGGCCTCTTAACTGCTTCGATATTTTGAACTTGAACCAGAGAATACCAAGCCAGGATCTCTGGAGACCAAGGCTGGGCATCCTGGCCACTAGAGGTAAAGGCAGCCCTGCTGCCCCAGGCAGATGTTGCTGGCCGGCAAATGCCCATTTCAACTGGACGCCAGCTCTACCTAAACATGAGCCCTCACCAAGGCCATTCCTCTGGGAACTATTTCCACTGGACCCTGCTCCAGCCAAGGCCACTACCCTGCCCTGCTCCCAGGGCGAGCGGAAAGCGATCCTGCAGGTGGGGGCCGGGCAGCCTTTCCGGATCACAGCAAAGACGGCAGACATCTGAACTCAGTCCAGGGAGCTTGAGGATCGTCCAACCCCCAGGAAAACAGACAATTAAGTGGGTTTATGGCTATTACTATAAACCAACAAGATGCAACATGATATAAGGCTTCTGAAATCCCAAAGCAGCCGAGCAATTTGTCAAATGCCGTGATACAGACCTTTGCAAGATCCATTTTCATTGCTTATTTAACTCTGGTTTGGTCAAATTTGGATTAGCAAAACCAGAAGCCTGACATAACTGTCCTTGTGAAAATCGACGACTGGACATCCTAAAATTAGATCAGGAATGGGGACCACACGGTCCAATGCAGCAGACCCCCGCCCCCCTCAGTGGGTTCAAAAACATTAAGTGGAAAATTCCAGGAAAAATGGTTTACATTTGAATAATTTTTATTACAGGTTATGATTGTTGCGTTTCGTTTCCATCCGTGGTTGGGGTCCTCTGCTGTGCTGTGTAAATAAGCTTTCCCAGAGGATGTACAGATAGGAGAAATGGGCCACCTGCAGCTTCAGGCACCCACTGAAGACCGTGGACTGTGTCCCCGTGTAAGCAGGGGGACCACTGCACAGCCTTTCTTAATCCCATTCAGATAATTAAACAGCTCACTCACTAGGCTAGAGGGAGCCACTTCAAACTCCAACCGTGTGGACTGGGTCCCTGCACCCCTCTCTGTGTGCTCTGGTGTGGATGTGACTGAGTGTGCCCCAGGGGCACAGTCCCCATGTGGGGGTGCTGAGCTGTGGGACCCTTCAGAGGCGAGGCTGACTGACGGTGGGCACCACCCCAGGGAGGGGTGAATGTAGTGCCCACTGCACCCTCAGCCAGCTCCCGTAGGGTTAGGGCTGTGAAGAGAGAAACTGGCCCCAGCTCTGCGTGGCTCCTGTGTCACCAAGTGACCCTTCTGCACACAGCTGGTCCCTTTATGTTATGCAACAGCCACGGGACACTTGCCAGGATACCACTGTCACGTTCTTGAACCTCCAGACAAAGCTCAAGAAGCCTCTTTTCTTTATAGTGCCCAGCCTCAGGTATTCTAACACAGCAAGCACCAGGCTAAGGAAGCTACAGGACCCACGTCACAGGGGGCCATCGTGTAGCTGTGCTCCTAGGAAATGCACCAGAGTCAGACCTCCGAACCCCACAGCGATGTTCTGTGGACCAGACTATATGCTTAGGTTAAAATCCAGAATTAAAACAGGCACGGATGCTACGGAAAGTATTAAGAATTCAAATGGTCATTTTCCATACAAACGTGTTGCTAAAATTGTTAGTGGGAATGAGAATAGTAATGGAAATCGTAACAATAAAAAAGTCAACAAAACACTACAGAGATACCTAGGGTCAGGCATGTGACTGTGCTGCATATGGATTGTTGGTTTTGATTTTTTTTTGTACTAGGGATTAAACCCAGGGGTGCTGAACCACTGAGCCACATCCCCAGTCCTTTTCATGTTTTATTTAGAAAATAGGGTCTTACTGAACTGGTTAGGGCCTCACTAAGTTGCAGAGACTGGCCTCAAACTTGTGATTCTCCTGCCTCAGCCTCCCAAGTCACTAGGATTACAGGCGTGTGCCACCATGCTCCACATGGGTTGGATTTTAACATTCCTCATCTCCTGGCCATCAGATTTGCATCAATTCTCCTTGACCAGTTGACCACCACAAGTGAGTAGCTATCAACTGTGTCATCACCCAGGGAGGCCAGAACCCCCAGCCAGGCGGGGAGGAGGGCAAAGGGCGAGCCCTGCGAACAGGCTCGAGCCGGCTCACCTGATGTCTGAGAGGTCACACTTGTTCCCTGCGATGGCCACCACGATGCGTTCTGGGCCATGTTCCTTCAGTTCTTTCACCCATTTCTTCAGCGTGTGGAATGAATCCTAGACCAGAGCACAAGGCAGTTGTTGAGCCGACCCGCCAATGTGACATTTGGCCAAGTACAAACACAATCTCCCCATAATTTAGAGGAGACCAACATTTTTAAGAAACTCTCATAGTCAACATTAGCTACGTGATCCCTAAATAGTTTATGGCAGTTTCCTTTCTCCAAAATTAACACCTGGTGAGGTTCAGAAAATCACTGTAGTCGTTTTTCTATAAATAGCATAGATTTAATGCTCTCAGGGCTGGGAGGTGGCTCCCTGGGAGAGCCTGCCTGGGGTGTGAGGCCTCATGTTCCGCCCCAGCACCGACAAACTCAGCCGCGGCCTTGACTCTGGTGGAGGAGCCCGCTTGCCTGCACGGGCCTTCACCACCATCCCTCAGGTCACAGGAGAGGGGTCAGAACTCAGGACAGCACAGTGTCACTAGAGCAAGGACCATGCACACTGAGTGGCACGTCAGGGGAAGAAGTCATGATCCAGTTGCTGGAAATCGGGGAAAATGCCGCCATCTACTTGCCCATGAGACCCTACAGCCCCGACTCAGGGACAACACATGCACCTGAATTCTGTACACACTGCCCTCATCTGTGGGGGATGCGCCCCAAGACCCTCAGTGGATGCCTGACAGCACGCAGTCCCAGGCCCCAGTGTTCACCCTGATTTTCCTGCACCTACATGTGCATGATGACGTTTGATTTATAAATTAACAACAGCATGGGATGACTATGACCGTGCCCTGCAATGGAAGTCATTGAAACTTAGGAAATGTCTTTCTGGAATTTTCCACTTCATATTTTCTGATGGCAGTTGACCTTGGGTGACTGAAACTGGAGACAGGGTGACAACTGTACCCAAACACAGCACACGCACCTGCGTGCGCCTGTGCCCTTGGCATTTAAAGGAGCACGATCAAAACAATACCAGAAAATAAGTACGCAGACTTAATGAAACAGAGCTGAAAGATGAACTTTTTCTTAAAATGCTGACACTCTGGAGGCAATGTCAGCAGACAAGATCTGGGGACAAAATCTACATGTGGACGGTCCAGTGTTTAGAAAGGGAGTTTCTCTGTGCTCTGATTTAGAGGTAAGTCTGAGACGCTTCATCAGGTACGGGTGACATACGCTCAAGGAGGGTCCTTGCCCTTGACCACCCACTAGGAGGCCTCGTCCCAGGCTCCTGGCAAGACTCAACAGTGCCAGCTCTGCTGGGGTCCCCCGAGACAGGGATGTCACCACAAGGGCCCCTGGTCCTAAAGGAGGCGCTCTCACCTGTTTGGTGATGTCGTACACGATCACGGCAGCGGCCGACCCTCGGTAGTACATGGGCGCCAGGGAATGGAACTGCCAAGGACACAGACAGACATTAGACCACTGACATCAACGTGTGCTTCCACTGTTGTCCCCACAGGGTCTGCAAACTCCTCTTGGGATTCTTCCAGGGCTCCTGTTAACTTTCCTCCCCTCACCACCACCCCCCCCACAGGCTTGCGGTTTCCAGACCATGAAACCTCCTCAAGAGTGCAAAACCCAAAGCCCAATTTTACTTCCAATGTCACCATCCTGTGAACTGTCTTCTCTGCACTGCCCGTCACTGATCTAACACGGCCACCCTGGGCAATCCCAGGAGATTACATAGCAGCAAGAAAATACATGTCCCAAGGGAAGGAAAGAGCACGCTGGAGAGATGGCTGGAACCTTGCAGAGCTGGTGGCCAGGGCAGCCCCAAGCAGTGTCCCTGCTTGCTGGCCCTGGCCCTGCAAGCTCCTCGGTCCAACAAATACCACCCCAAAACTCTCAGGAGGAGGCAACTGTCTGTCACGGGTCTTTCCAAGCCCACTGATGCCTCCCAAGTGTGCCTGCTGCAATTGCTAGGCTCCCACGGTGTACGCCCAGGTGGCCTGAGATCCACGTGTCACACCGACAAAATGCCTATGGTTTTCAAAACAGCCTCCACCTTAGGAAGAGAGTCGTACAAACTTCATTTCTCAAAGCTCCCGGGGAGCCAGGCAGCGGTGGCCTGAGGTGGACGGAGCTCCCTTCCACCCAGGCCTCCTCGAGTGGGCGGGGTGCAGGCCTCATGAATGATTGAAGAGACGGTGGCAAAGGAGGCATTACTCATTCCTTCCTTCCTCCAAACGGAATCACTTTGAAATAAATCTGCTGGCTCAGTCACTTAGAGGGCTTTATTGCCGGGGACGTAGGGGTTTTAATGAGTTAGAAGTTCCCATCTCACTTCCAGAAGTCAATAATGCACTGACCAAGGGTAATGTTTGTGGGGGACAAAACGATGACTCACTCCTAGCACACACTTTCCACATACATAAAGCAGATGCGCCACCGTCAGCCTCCGAACGCCCCACGACGCCACGTGACTTCCGCAGGGTCAGGACTAGGACCCAGGGGACGCTGGCAGAAAGACTCGGCTAGAAATGAAGGTCAGGATCCCAGGAGGCTGACAAAGCTCTGTTTTAAAATCTCACGGAAAGGATGTTGGAGAATCAGCCCAATAGATGTCAGTTCAAAAGCCCTTCTTCCCCAGTTACCAACGACACACCTGTGAGACCAGACTCCAGGGCTCAGGTCACTTTGTGGCCCATTTAATTGTTTAGAAGCAGCCCGGGAATTGTGAAAGGTAATGCTCGCCTTCAAAAGAGCAGATGTCCACGTCCTCAGTGGCTCTTAACCACAGCTGTCCAGCATACGGAGGAAGGGGTCTGCCCGGGGTATCCCTCTGTAAGAGGGGGAGTCAGCAGCTCCCTGGACAGTGCTTACCGGGGGATATGTGTCAGCTCTGCATCACTGTCATGAAATGCCTGCCGTGACCAACTCAGGAAGACAACAGGCTTATTCTGGTGTGCATCCGGGCAGCGTCAGTCCGTTGGGGGGTCACCCCGAGGCTCTGGGCAGCACATCATGGCGAAGCTCCACTTACCGTGAGCCAGGCAGCAACAGACAGGAAAAGTGGGGGACCAGGGCCTGTCTCCCCACCAAGGGCATGTCCCTAACAACCTGAAAGGCCTCCCGCAAAGCCCCACCTCCTCCCCAGAGCACCACCCTGGGGACCCAGCCTCCCACACAGGGCCTTTGGGGCACTCCAGACCCACTTCCAGCAGGGCAGAGGACAGATGGGCGTGGCCTCATAAGCGTCCACACACTGACTCAGCGCTGGGCCTCTCGAGGACACAGAGCCCTCACAAGGGCACCATGACTCACTCTCCTTGCCAACCTCAAGGCCTGGCCACTAGGAGTGGGAATGTGGTTCTAGTGGACCACAGCACGGGACGCCAGAAAACCATCAAACCCAGGTTCCAGAAGAACACTTGATGGCATGTGGGTGAGATGGCATCATTCAGTGACTCCCAGCGTCCCCTATGGGCATTGAGGCCTTCAGGCGCTTTTTGGGGAAAAGGTTTCTTGGCAAATGGGTTTGAGAGACACAAGACATAGTGCTGCTGCCCCGGAGGTGCACGGGGAACCATGGGCACATAAGGGGCAGCCCAGCCTGCCGTGAAGGCACCTGTCCCTCTTGGTCTTGAGTTCCCAGCACCTCCTAAGCCTTGTTTCAGGTTGTCTACATCAACACCCAGGAACCTGCAGCGCTTAGAGCCACCTTAGAGCACGGCCTGACAGGAAGGGGGCTCTGAGACAGTCCCAGGCCTGGCCTGGCTCTGTCTTGGTTTTCAAATCTTGTCAAATGGAAATGGGGTCAGCAATGACAGCCTGGTTCTTCCAGCTCTGTGACAATGCTCGCTCATCGCACAGGGACCAGGGGCTCTGGGCGAAGCCAGCTGCCCAGCGTTGCTCTTCCGACTGCAGCACTTGCAACACACTCACTTCTTCCTGTCCCACACCCGCCTGCATGTGCGCGCGCGGGCACACACACGCACGCACACACATGCGCACACACAGGGCTCAGCTGCATGGTGCACACGTGACTCAGTAGACCCCCTAACCCTCAGACCACCCTGTCCACTTGAGGCAAGAACCCTTCAGTGCAGGTTGGTGGCATCAGAAATCTCATGGCAGCATGCTCCTGTGGTCAGGAGTGCGCGGTGGTGGATGACCACTACATTTCCAAGGCGCAGCTTGTGCTGGGCTCTGCCTCCTGGAGAAGAAGGAGCCCAGCAGAGCACCCAGGCTGGAATGCAAGAGGGGTTTCACAGAAGGATGTCCAGGGGGTGGGCAGCACTGGTCTGTGACCATGACAGCATGGGGGTCTGCCTCAGGAGCCACTCAATCATAGGCCCACCCAGTCTCCAGACACTGTCCCCCAAGGCCTGTGTCCTGAAGCCACAGAGCTGGGGAATTCAGAGAAGGAAGCAGGAGAGAAGATTCCTGACATTCCGGCGTTAGCAAAAGAATGGAAACACATCCCCAGGGTGTCTTCCTTCCCTCACAACACCCTCTCACGAGGAAGCAGAGCACCATCCAGACAGGCCACTAAGGACCTAAGGACAGCGAGGGGAATGAGGGGAACCGCAGGAGACAGAGGCTGAGCTCCTGCAGCAGCTCCTGCTGGGGACCTCAGAGGGCAGCGCTCCTGGCTCTGCTGTGTCTGAATTGCTCAAAATTGCTCAAAGTATTCAGCACGATGCATGACTCTGACTCGCGCAATGACAAGACTTCTCTTTCTTTCCTAATCACTGGGGTCAGAGCTTCTTACAGCAGGGGTCCCAGGTAGAGGTGAAGTCCCAGGAAGAACTGGGTTAGGGTGACCTAGGAGCCCAGGCCTCCTTTCTGCAGGTGCAGGGTGAACCTTCTTAGCAGGAAACAGACTTCTCTCCATGAGTCAGGGCCTGGGAGAGGGCGTGGATCAGTCTAAAAGGCCACCCATGAAACCACCGCCCCCAGGACAGTGAGCCTCAGCTATGAGCTGTCTGTGGGCAACAGGAATTTCCTAAAGTCCAGAGGGCGGCCCCACCTTCCTAGTTGTCATGTCACAGGCAGCCGCTGACCCAGGCATCTGCAAAAAAATGACCTGGTGTGGGCACCGGCATTGGAGGAAGGTGGTCACTGCCTCTCTTCCTGTTCTCCCCGCTCGGCTGTCTCTGGGGTCTTACACCCTGTCCAAGGCAATGCCCTGCGGGGCGCAACAGCAGGCCAGCCTTAGACAGGACGCAGCAGGCACGGCGGGAGGAAAAGGCGGATCCGGGGCTCTCCTGGGCTCAGGCACAGACGGTGGGCCAGAGCAGCCCATCTGCACAGCCCCAGAGAGTCCCCCCGTGACCTGATCACACAGATGCCATACAAGAGCGGGGTCTGGGTCCCCCAACAGACTTAGACCTGCCCCGGGGGCCCTGTCCCTGCCACTGCCTCCTCTCCAAGCAGGGTGACCTTCCTTGACTGGGTGCTGGGCATCTGGACAGTGCAGTGGCCTCTAAGCTGACCACAGCGGCCAGAGGGATCCTGATTTGAGCAGCTGGATTGTGATATTTGTTTCCACAGAATGTATTTATCTTCAACTTCTTGTTGTGGAAGTTTCCAAAAAAACCCAAGACAAGAACAGTGTATAAAGAACTTCATGTTCTCGTCCCCACCTTCAAGGTCATCACCACCACAGCTGCTGGCTTCCTTGCTGCCCCTCCTCGGCTCCCACCCCACAGGCCACAGCCCCAGGAGGCTCTGAAGCAAACACCTGGTGTCTTGTGGATCTCAACACCAGAGTCCGTTTTCCCCTCTGGAAGTCAGACTGTGTCACTTCCTCCTTCCAAACCCTTCTGATTTACCCAGTGCAGACCGAGCTCCCCCACGCCGGTGTCCAAGACCCGCTCCTGGGCTCCTCCTGCTCCTGGAACACACAGCCACCCAGGCCTGACCTGCCCCTGAACACCCCCAGGGCCACTCCCTCACAGTTCCCACCGTCTCAGTGGCCCCACCCTAGGAACACCTGCCCGAGCCCTCCTCTGGCCCACAGCAGGACTCCACAGATACCTAAAGACTGAACTGTGTGCTGTGACTCAATGGCCCAGGGACAGCAAGCAGAGAAGACAGACTTAGGCTCAGCGTGGTCATGTGAGCTGTCGCCCCACAGCTCCTAAAGGGCAAAACTGGACCTGAACACAGGTCTTTTGGCTCCAAGCTGCAGGCTCCTCCCACTCCCGTGTTGCTTCTCTGAAAGGAAATGTTGCTTAAACTGATGAAACAGAGACATACTTAGTGCATCACTGAACACGTGGTATGTGCCAGCAGGCCCTGGGGACCCAGGAGCGTGGCAGGGTCACAGTGGCCTCAAGGATGCCCCTCCCCAGTTCCCAGAGCCTGCGCAGTGTCCTGTTTGAGGCAAGAGGGAACTAAGGTTGCCAGTCCGCCGACGTTCAGGTGGGGAGATGACCTTGGATTAT